AAAAAAAGGCGCAATTCCCAGTTAACTGCCTTCTGGGGCAGGTGTCACGGATTTCGGCTGCCAAAGGTCAAATTTAGTACCTTAATCTGCTTAACGGTATGCTCTCGCCTGTCCCAGCCATTAATCTGTTACGAATATTCCTGTTGTTTGACCTCTTGGTGAAATTTGGGTTGCGATCCGGCTGCCGCCACGAGGGCCCAGCCAACAAGCCTGGGCTTCCTCTCCTTAAGCCCTCTTCAGCTGTAACTCTGTGCGTGATCTTTGTCGTGTGTGACCCCTATATCGGTTATCTTGGGCTCGGCTTCCTACGTCCTTGCTCCCGGTCATCGTGTGCTGTTTTGATTTACCTCGGAAACATCCCTGCTCCAAGCTTGCCCTGGTCTGCGACACGGCACGGGCTCCCACGCCTTTGGGAAGCCGACCCTTTCCGCGAGAGGCCCTCAAAGACCGGCTGGTTCTGCTCATTTTGGGTCAAACCCCCCCTGTTTTCCAGAGGGTTCACTGGGACGCTGCTGAGCGGCAGCACCGAAACCGGACACCAAAGCCGGAGACGCCGCCAGTGCTTTCGTCCTAAAGCTTTTTCCCTGCCACGTGCATCCCTGTGCGCCGACACCCAATTCAGTCGGCTCTCTAAAATATCTGCCTGTGTTTTGCTGCTTAAATCTGAGGAGGGTAAGCTGGGAAAACATCTAGTGCTGCCATGCTCGCTGTCCTGCACCTGCCTGCCGTTTTCTTGCCTGTTACAGTCCTGGTTTGACTGCGGGCAGAAGTGAGCAAGCAGGGTGGAAGGGACGAGTGGTCTTCCCTTTTTCCCTTGGGTAAATCTGTAAAACACTTTGGCTGACGTAGAGCGATCCCGGGTCTTCCTCGGGCTCTTTGGACCAAAATCTTGTGGTGCTGTTTTGATTTACCTCGGAAACATCCCTGCTCCAAGCTTGCCCTGGTCTGCGACACGGCACGGGCTCCCACGCCTTTGGGAAGCCGACCCTTTCCGCGAGAGGCCCTCAAAGACCGGCTGGTTTTCTGCTCATTGGGTCAAACCCCCCCTGTTTTCCAGAGGGTTCACTGGGACGCTGCTGAGCGGCAGCACCGAAACCGGACACCAAAGCCGGAGACGCCGCCAGTGCTTTCGTCCTAAAGCTTTTTCCCTGCCACGTGCATCCCTGTGCGCCGACACCCAATTCAGTCGGCTCTCTAAAATATCTGCCTGTGTTTTGCTGCTTAAATCTGAGGAGGGTAAGCTGGGAAAACATCTAGTGCTGCCATGCTCGCTGTCCTGCACCTGCCTGCCGTTTTCTTGCCTGTTACAGTCCTGGTTTGACTGCGGGCAGAAGTGAGCAAGCAGGGTGGAAGGGACGAGTGGTCTTCCCTTTTTCCCTTGGGTAAATCTGTAAAACACTTTGGCTGACGTAGAGCGATCCCGGGTCTTCCTCGGGCTCTTTGGACCAAAATCTTGTGTTTTGAGGCAGGAAGCAGAGCAGCTGCCGTGCCGGGTACCCAGAACTAGATTCAGCAGGGCAAACCTGGAAGCCCAGCCGATGAAACGCTGGTCACGAAGGTGTATTTTTTTTTTCTCCAGTCTGCTGCGAAACTTCATTTTAATCTGGTGAACGCACGATAGCTGCTTTGACATTGGGCTGCTGCTCATTAAACTGGTCGGGGATATGGAAACCGGCCAGTTGGGTCACCTCCAGCCTCGGGTCCTGCCTCTTGAGGGAGGAGCTGGGTAGAAAGGGCAGCTCCAAGAAGAGCTGGCTCCAAGCGCCAGCGCTTCCCCTGGGATGATCTTGCTCCAGCGCTTTCCCTTGGGCTGCGGCTGTCGGTTGGATGTGTGTAACGAGGAGCGTGGTTAACCCCAGGCTTCCCTGGACATGCGGGGCTGCGCCCCACCAAGAGCTGCAAGGTGGAGGTTGCTGGGGGACCTTTGAGAGGTCCTGCACCGGCTCCGGGTTGCTTTTCTGGGTTCTCTGGGCAGGGGAGAGCCCCTCTCTGGGTCTTTCGACTGTGTCAGCCTTCTAGGGTCTGAGCTTTGAAGGAGAAGCGATGAAGCAGTCTGTCCTGGAGCCCACATCCCAAGTGCTTTGCACCACTGTACCTCTACTTTGCGAGGGGTCTGCCCCGTAGACGGCTTCTTCCCAGCTTTGTCCGGTGCACATCACACAAACCGGTGAGAAGAAAACCTCGGCCAAGCAGAGTGGTCGCGGGGTGAGTAACGCAGCAAAAATTGAAGCCAAGACCTTCTACGCGGGCGAGAGACTTGACGGAAAAACCTTCCGCGCTGGGTCGGTG